AGCTTAATTTTGCTGACTGTGAGGTGACTTAGCACAGAGCTAGAGGCATGCAACCTTCAGACACCCTGGAGAAGCTTTTGGAACATGGCAGCTCTCCTAGGGAAACACTGGGAGACTGCTGTCTCTCAAATAGCATTCAGGATGTCAGTCTTATTATTAACCCTTCTTCTTACACTCTGTAAAAATTAACTAGAAAAGTGTAGTGAGAAAATCTCGGTAGACACTATCCAACTGCTACCCTTCCTTTAGAGCAAATATTATGATAAGTATGCATTTGTTAATTTGGAGATTTGAAAATTACCCAAAAAACTGACTTGAGTCAGTAGTTTGCGTCTCTTCCTAACTAAATGAGGTTATTGGCTAATAGTTTCAAGAAAAATGAGAACATTATTTTTGTCCTGAGGATGTATGTTTTATCATAAATATATCCATATCAATTGAATTATATAAATTCTTATTGCATATAACTATCAAGCCCTCTGACCTAGAAAGAGACAATAGTTCCTTTACTTGGGCATGATGTAGAAACTTAAGGACGAATATTTTCTTCAAAGTTGCAAAGAATTTGGAAACTGATTATGATCAAGTGTTTCTCATAAAAATTCCCTGATCTATGCAATACTAAGGCTTGAGAAGCCTTTACTGTGAATATAACCCAAACCTTTCAACCGTAGCTCAAATACGCAATCCTTATTCCTTATTCTTTCAGGGAGTCTCTTTTGTCAACTGGCTTGTTTTATTTCCCGTAGGTGAGTCTGGAAACTACTCTTATGCAGATAGGAGAACATTCTACCTAATCACCTGTTTCATCCACATCACCTACCACATTTCCACATATTTTCTGAATGAATGGGAATAACAGAATTGAACATATCAAAGTACTAATCACTTACCTAAGACAGAGTCTATTACTTCATTGCTTTTAGCTGGAGGATTAATAAAAGGTGCAGAAAGACCCAGCTGGTTTTTCTTTAATTTCACCATTGTTACTTGAGCAATAGGTGGCAAAATTTTGAGTTTGGGATAATAAAATGAGTTTGCTGGGTGGCTTGGAGAGGAGCAAGTGATCTGTCAAATAAAAAGGAGAACCTTAAAGAACCTATATCCTACTAGTAAGAATATAACTGTAAAATCATGTTTCTACATTTTATTGCAAGTAAAATGCGTATAACCAGTTTCTATGAACCTCAGTTCACATAACTACTGCTGGTAACCCCAGAATTTTTATGCATAATCCTCTGAGACTGAGCAAAATGAATTGTGCCATCCTTTGGATAGAGGACTGTAGTGGGAGGTACTGAAACCACAGCAAATGGTTTGATGGAAAGAAGTGAATGTTACTACAAAGAAGAACACAAGAGTATTATATTACAGTACTAGGTATGTTATAGCAGTTATCATGTTTCTAGAAAGTCAAACATATTTTTTTCCAGCTTCTTGATCCTCTTATTAGCACAGCATTTGGCTACAGAAAACCTTAAAGAAAGAATTAACTGAATGTTTATAGTATTCAGAACATTTGAGTCAAAATCCTCTGTTCTTCACCACCCTTAAGCAGCAAAAACAAAGTATGAGGCATATAGAGCATCAAGCAACAAAAGAGATTGAAAGTGGGGTCACCTCATAGTGATGAAGTTCTCCTCTGCTTTCCCTTAACACTTTTCCCTCAAGTGTTTCACATTCCAGCAATGCTTTTAACTGAAGACTCCTCCCCACATCAGTATTCACTACTAAGAATTTTCCTGGTTAGATACATATTTCATAATGCCAGGACTTTTGTGAATACTTTTAGTTTCCTGGTATTTTAAAAATTGTTAAAAATGATACAAAAATAGTCAGATTTTACAAAAAAACTTCAAATGTAGACTCAAATTTTCATGAACCATCAGCATTTACCTAATAAATTTGAATGATACAGAAAATAAAAGCATTAGGGTTATCAGCTATGTAATAAATCCATCGAGAGAGCATCAGCACTCTTTAAATACTGAAATCGGTTTCACAAGGGTCTATCATGTATTCATAGAATAGCTATCTTTTACAGGGAGGACTCAAAACATACAGGTATGAAGTACTAAACTATGTATATCCACCTACCTCTGTAACTGTGTCCTGTGGAATAGTGGCAAAGTTTGGGGAGGAAAATGTGAAACCACTGTCAGTTCCAGCGTCATATGGAGATAGGTCTACTGATACTTCTTCCATCCAGTGGTCTCCTTCACAGAGATTTAGACTGTCAATACCCACAAACCAGTCGGGGCTTGGAACAATTCGTACAACAAATGAAACCTACGAAACCAAATGATCCATCAGTATTACATTACTTTTTTTAAAATCATTCTCCTTACAGTTATTTTAACTTAAAAATTTTGAAAGAAATGTCATGATGCTCTTTTGCTTTATAGAACCTCTACAGTGCTCCCTGCAGTGTCATGCTTTTTAGTAGCTCTTTGCATTATATTATTCCTATGAGTGAGAATCCAAATATTTAATTTTGGGTGCTACTGACATGAAATAAACTTTTTCAATTAATATGTATATTTACTTACTAAGGGATGTCTTGGATGCACTTCTAATTCAGTAGACGTTTGTCCTGTACCACTGGAAATGGCAGGAGCAGAGAAGATTCCATGTACACTCTGAATTTTCTCTCCAGCTTCTTCTATTTCTTTCATTAATACCCATGCTTCACCCTTTTCAGCAAAATCACGGACACCATTGCTGGCATATTCATTTTTTTTCCACATGCTGTAGTCAGAACTATGAGTAACACCTATTTGAGTGAATACATGGCATGACATAAAAGTCTGGTTTAGATTGTCCCTATTTATTCAATTTCTCTGTTTTATTTCTAAGGTTAAAAAGAAAAAAGTATATAAAAATGAGTGAACACTTAAACATTTGGCTTATCTCTGTTTATTTCAGCTGCAGCCAATTGAAAACAGAAGTCAATTGAAAACAGTTGTGGATTTTTGAAAGCACTGTGGATACTTCACATGTCTGCATTTCATTCTTAGTAACTTTGGCTATTTTTTTCCTTTTTCATTAGTTATCTTAAAATTGACTGTGAAGAAATAAAAAGATCACAGTGGTCAGGAGATTTATTTGTTCTTAAAACTGTGCATACTTCACTTACCTAGCATTGATGACCACTGTGCTGGGGGCCTATAAAGTGGGTACTGCTTAGGGAAAGCAGTCTGACTCCATTTCCCTGTGAAGATTATGCTGTATTTAGCAAGATCCTCTGCTGTGCAAATAGAATCATCACCCACAGGAAAGCTGCTGGCATAACCTAGTATTGTTACAAGTAATGTCCAGATAACTTTACAGGAGCGGTAGACAAACGTCAGGTTTTCCATTCCCTTCCACACAAAGAAGAAAAAAATACATTAGCAACATTAGTCACTCCAAACTCAAAATTGAATAACAGTTTCCTAACAAAATGTAATGTACCGTAAGTTATAACCAAAAAGAAAGCATCTGAAACACTAAAAACTGTTCTGCTTCTAAAAACATTATTATAATGCTTTCAGATTTGATCTTTCCATGCTATATACTACAAATCTACCTAAGACAAGAGTTTCTAATGAAAATAAAAGTACCTTAACATTATCCATAGTCCTACCACTGAGAAAAATCTGTTTCTGATTTTCTTTTGAAACCTTATTAGAGTCACATCTTGAATTAATTAGAGTAGCAACTGTTTCTGTGGAAAACATTAGTGGTATATTTATTCTTCTAAAGATTAAATTGCAGGTTCCTTTGCCAAAAGAAATGATTTATTTTAAATTTGTGTTCTACAAGGGCTGTTTTATGGCATAACATTTAAAATCAAATACATTTCATATTTATATAAATTACGGTGCTGTCATAGCTTGTGCATTTAAAAGTAAATTGTAATTCCTTCAGATTGTTTAAGCTAAGCAGTTGTTAAAAAGCAGTATTTTCTAAAAGTTGCTGTCATAGGTTGTGCAAATTTTGCTCTTAAATTACTATAGCAATTGCATCAGACTGTTAAACTCTAGCAATTGTTTAAAGTAACAGCTTTTAAAACTTGCTTTTAAAACTTACTTTTAAATGTCTTTGTCCTTTGAGAAAACTATACAAATATAAGCAAAACACTATGAACATATTAATTTGTAAAAAGAGCTGTGAATACTCACTAAATATTTCCTCTGGAGCACTGGTAGGGGGAGAGCACCTGCTTTTGCTGGCAGCTGAGTTGCTCTGCAAGAGAAGACAGTAGGAGTCTTGCTATTTATGCCTGAAGAGGGTCCCTTTGGTCCAACAATTAATGTAATCTTTACACTTTCCAGGTTTGCAAAAAGCATGCCATCTTCTTGTTTGCAGGCTTTTCGGATGGTCTATCAGAGGTTTCCTGTCTGTCAACTGGTCCAGGTTCCTATCAGAAGACTATGATGCCGAATAGACAAAATGCTTTAAAAAAATACCTTGGATTCTTAGTAACAGTTTGAGTGTTCTGGTGCCTTTACAGTTCCGTGCTCTGATTAATGCCTCCAAGCTATACAAATGAACTGTTTCCAATGCTGGAATAGTTCTAGTGAATACACTTTAAATGAAAAGCATGTTTTCTTGTAAGTTTTATTGTCTGACAGATGCTCCTTCCAAACATTTACAGAGAGCTTGCTCACTCTCACACACCATATGTATGTGTTCAAATAAAACGGGTGAGGCAGCTAAAAAAGTCAAGAGGAAAAAAAAGTTACATTTCATAATTGCACATACTCACAGAGACTGTCTCTCCTGCAAATATGAATTAATCTGAAGTAGTACAGTGTATATTTTTGTGTCCTACAGTACCGTACGCTGGATGATGAAAGGGCTCTGTAACACTGTGGTTTCTTTGGAAAAAAGCTCTGAGATTTTTCTTAGCTGTCTTCAGAGTAAAAACTCCAAATTAAAATCTTATTCTCACAGTGAAATCATACCTCCTCTGTAGCACAGTACATATATACATCACCAAAATTATCTATGAAAAATTATGTATAATACAGTGACCCAATTAAGAAATAATGTTTAATATTGATTTTAAATTCTTTTCCCCACCACCTTCCAAATAAGGGAAAAGAGGGGTTTTGTGCCATGCCTATAAGGTTAACAAACGCTACTGGCCAGCAAAACAAGTTAAGTTCAAAAGTTTAGAGTGAACCATGAAGAAAGTCTTTCATAGGGACTTCTTTTGAAATTCTGAGGAACGTCACTTAAGTGCTTCCACAGATCTCCAATAGGATGGTAGAGCATATGGAAAATAATCAAAACAAACAACACAGTAATTTTTCAGATGAAACTTCCAGGCCATCACAGTTAAGCAATAGCTTAAGTGACATGCTATGATCCACCAGGAGGGGGTTACCAAACAACCAGATAACTTTATAGGCACTTTATTGTGGCACTTTAACTGGAAACTTATCCTTTCCTTCTGCCCCCGACCCCATGGTAAATCAAGACGAGCCAAAAGATGAATAAACTGGGATGTGTGAATGGAATTTCCATTGATTATTCTCCTGGCAAATGGAATTTATTACGAGTTTCAACACAAATGGATTCAGCACCCATAACCACAATTCCTGTATATCTGGGTAGATTATGGGAATTCTGTGGCAGGCTAAGCCACCTAGACATGGACATGCCCTTTATTTCCAAGACCCCTTCCTCTGTCCTGTGTTAATGTGATGTTTTCCATAATTTATTTCTGTTCCAGGAACCAGACTCCACTAAGAAAAAGAGACTTCATGGATACTTTTATCCAGTTTTTTGAGTGTTTGTTGAAGGATGATATTTGAACTACATCCAGCTCACTTCCTCCTATGCATGGAATTCCAGATCCATGGGTTCCTTAGAGAACTGAGTGTACTTACATAAGAAGTGAGTGATCTTTCCCACCCATGCAGCTACCTAGAGGAACTATACAAAGGTCCCACTAATTTTAAAGTATATTGCTCAGAGCACTGTTAAGATTACTTAAAGGTTGCTTATTTATTACTAAGTAGCTTTAAACTTCAGTAGGCTTTGTTGTTTACCATCATAATTACTGAACCAGCTAACTTCACATTTTGAAACATACTGTGACACTTCCAGGACAACACTGAAAGTGAGAACAAAGCAATTAGCTCTGGATATAGCACAGAATTATTTAATGTATCAGTCTAGCCTTTTCCTTTCCAAGAATAATTACTGGCAAAAGGCACACCACCAGACTAGATCATTCTGGTCCCATGACTACATGTTATGAATGTATCCAGGCACGGGACAATACATGCAGGCTGCATAATTTGGCACAGATATTATAAGAAAAACTTACTAAATAATAGAAGAAACAGAATCACTGGAAGTCATTAACTTTGGAAGTCATTTAAGGTTTCTATGTACAGAGTAGACAAAAAAATATCAAAAATTATAAAAGTTATAGTTAACTCTTCCCTTGGAATAGGAATGCGTGATGTATGGTCATCCAAGAGGCTTCCAGTTCTACATCTCTGTGTAATCACTTTATCCTTCTACTAGAGCTCCATTAGTCCAATTTCTTGAGGTTATCATGCTCTTCAACCTCACATATGCAGTTAATGGAATACAACAGAGTCTAGATCTTTTCCTACCTTACTGGTGTGGGAATGAGGTACTTTCATGCAATTTAATCTGAAAACTAAAGAGGGATTCTCTCCTCAAAGATTGCAGATACTTACAGGGAAACTGAATTATAGCCCTTATTCTTGTTCTGCAATACTGGTCTAAAATAGAGTTTTTCTTCCTTAACGTTCCTACACTAGACCTTTCCCCATTTACAATGATGGCTCTACCATGACAGCTTTCTCAAGATTAGTATCTTCAGGACCTACAGCCTCATTCTTACCTTTATTGGATTCATAAGAAATTGTTGGACAAAATACAATGATTGCAAATTTATTTAATTATCTTCTCTCCTCTCCCCACCCCACTGACTGAAGCAGGAGAATACAGAGAAAAACAAAACAAGTAATGGTGTCAGAAAATACTAACTTGAGGACTCCCAGCGTTATTTCTTTAAATAGAACTGTGCTAAGCATAATCAATCTCTGACATTGTGAAGGACATCAAAACACCAAACATATAGCTAGGAAGAAAGAAAAAGAAAAAATGGAAAAAACCCCAAACATTTCCGCTCAATGGGTTACTTTCATGGCTGGGAAGCCACAGATGCCAAATTTCTGTGGGCCAGCAGTTGGAGAAAAAATTGCTGTGGGATCAGAACCTATGCTTACATTCCTTCTTCAGTTTGGATGTCCCGTTAGAAAGCAGCTGAAAACTGGGAAGAAACCTTCCTTTACAGTTTACATCTACATAAAATTGAACATTTTTCTTTCTCTTTTACAGCAAAATAGCTTTTGTTTTTCAAGATTGTGTCTCTTCAGGTACACCTATTTCCTATCTACATGCATACCTCTGTAGACCCTGAATGCTAGACGGACTAGACATACAACGCTTGTTTCACTTGAGCATCAGTGCCAAAGTGTGCCTTGTGTTTAGTTTTACTTGCAGGAGTGTGCAACTTTTTATCAGTAAGTCTTACAGGCTTTACCAAGATTCACAGGATAAAAGCTAAAAAATATAAAACAAAAATGGTGTCCAGACATTTTGGGGTTTAAATAACAGCCATAACTGTGTATAAAATATCCTGTATTTCTGTTAAGCAAAAATAATTAATGAAGAAAACAAACAAGGAAAAAAGCCCTACTTAAAAATATAGCAATATACTCAATATGTTGATTTTTGAATCTTTCAGAGCATGCAAAAACATTCATACAGCCATGTTCAGTCAATCACACAGGAATATAGGACATTAAAAGGGTGTAAATTCCATTTTGATTAGTCAGAGAATAATTTAGTCCTTTTTCTGGGAAGCAACAAGATTGGCATGATTAGTTATGACTTCCATTAAGCTGTAAGATTAAGAGAAAGGAGATTTAACCAGAATGATTGATGTGAAGTTAGTTTGCCCACCTTTGTTCAAAACAGGAGCTTCTTTTGTATATGTATTCCCGAAGTGTTACCACACATTACAATTTTATTAAAACAATTTCTATTTTGCTGGTAAAGAATATATGTGGAACTTTGATTCACAAGCTGTTTAATATGCTTATGACTAGCTAGCCTTTCTTTGTCTACCAAGGAAAACATAACATTGTATTACTTAAGAAGGATTATATACACATACTTTCTCTCCTGTAGTTACCATGGATACACATACGATTATGGACACTCAGCAATGCCAAAAGGTTTACATTCAGTCAAAACCCTCTAAGCTCTAAGTTGTAAAATCTCAATATCAGAGTGGCAAGCAGCAGAATATTTTAGCATGGAGAAATTGTGGTACTGGTTTGGAAGTTTCTATAAAATGAAGCATATACATAGCCAAATAAAGCATTCCCAGTATTGGATGGTACAACAGAAGTGAAGGCAGCTTTAATATTTATCTTTAGGGATAAAAATTTAGTTTGATACCTAACATGAGTGCATACATATGAACTAGATATGTAAACTGCTACTATATATAATGGAATTCTAGTCCTTACTATCAATAGAATCTAGAGAACTGTTTAGCTCACTTTTTAATCCATATCTATATTTGACCAAGTGAATAACTGATGAGTAGTTATTATAAGAGTATGAGTATCCTCTCTGGTCTCCACTATATTGATAAGCTCTCCATTGATCAGACACCCAGTCTCCTGTAAGCAAGTACACATAAGTGACTGATTCAGGCATCTGGGGTTGACAGGGGGGGGGAGGTGCATTGTTCTTGGTTTGTTTTGTTTTATTTTAATTCCGAGCTAACTGAGAATTCAAGACAAGATAGGGAAATGCATAAGGAAAAATCCCAGTCTTACTGACCACAAGGACACTGATCAGCAACAAGAAGCAATTATATTCTGTATTTGTCATTTCTATTTCGAAATGTTGACTTTCTAAGACCAATTTTATGATTTCTTTGCCTTGTAGAAATGTCAGTTCTTTATCCCAGTGGCAACACTGCAGAAGACCACCCAATTACATTTCTAAAGTAATCACTGTCAAGGCCACTCTTCGCTTTTATTATTTCCTGATTCACAGTCAGTTTTGTCAATTTCTCTTGTATTTTTTTCAGAAGTGTTAAATATATTATGTGATAGCTGTGGAATTATTAGAGTTACATCTTTAATTCATGTGAATAATGAGGTATTGTAAAAAAGTGAATTGATCTTTTCGGGGAAGTCATCCATACAGCCT